TCCAGAAAAGTCGAAGGCATACATTCCAAGAGAAACAATGAAAGGCCGTTGGCTCGATTTTCAGCTCCGGGGGCAGCCTCTTCCGCGGGCTTTGAGATGACCTCCGTGCCAACCTCTGCTTCATCTCCCTCGGCCTCTTTTAGGAGCTCAGAATCCTCCAATTCTGGCCTCTCGACGCCCTCGGGAAGGGGGACTCTGATATCAGGCTGGAGGGGGGGAGGCCATATGCCGTCGGATCGAAGGCCGTTGGCTCGATTTTCAAATGTCGTGCAAGCCTTCTGTAGATCAAGGCCTGGGTGAAGAACTCCCCCCCCGGCATAGTAATCTTCGCCCTTTCGGGCTAGCCACCTCACCCCGGGGCCCTTCACCCACCCGTCGGCGGATCCCTCCACGACTGAGGCCACCTAGTCTTTATGGCCTTCGGCCTTCCAACCCTCGGTCATGAAGGCAGCAACTGCACCGGCGGCGGCCTCTGCATCTTCGGAGGCCTTCTTTGCAGCCTCGGCAGCAGCCTTCTCCACCTTCGCCTTCTCTTTGGCTGCCTTTTCAGCTTCCGCCCTCGCCTGCTGGAGGTCCCTCTCCAGCTGAGCCATCTGCCTCATGGCCTCGGCGTTGTCATGAACGAGCTTCTTGAGGGACTCATCCTGCTGCGCTTTCTGAAGGCGCCACTCATCAAACCGCCTGGCATGCTCGCTGAGGGCTATGCAGGCCGGTTAAAACAAACAACAAAGTAAGGGGTTAAGCTATGATCACGCAACAGATAGAATCATAAGCCACTATGCAAAGAAAAAAGAAAGAAGAAGAAAAGAAGGAGAAGAACTTACGGTAAGGGAGTACCGGAGGATTTTTGACTCGAGGGCTTCATCGTCGAGCTTTCCGAGGGCCCTCCTATCCAGAGCGGGGGTAGCCCCGCCCAAAACTTCCCGGGGGTCTACTGTGCCATGCGTAATGGCTGCCCCCTTCGGCAGGGAGAACTGTATGTCCTCCCGGGGCAAGCTTGCCTCACCACCTTGACCCGAGGGCGGGCGAGGAGCAGTTGTTGTCATTGGAGCACTGGGCTCGGAGGCGGAGTGCTCGTCCACCACCACCACCAGGGGAGCCTTCTTCCCGGCATCCCCCTTCTTCTGCTTCTTCCCCTCGGGGATTGGCGCCTTGCCGGCGGCTTTCCGCTTTGCGGCCTCCCCCGAGGGCTCACTACCCTTCTTCAACTCCCCAAGGGCTTCTGCTTGGGGGGCTCCTTCTGGCCCAGGGCCTTGACCTTTTGTTTTTTAAGGTTGGCGAAGGCATTGAGGTCCATGTTGATACCTGAAAAAATATTAACGGTTAAAGCCGAAGGAGAAAAGATACAACAAAAAGCATATCTACACCTAAATATACATAAGTCTAAAGGACCGGATGCTCTCAGCCACTACCTCCGGAGACTCTCTCAAATGCCGGGAACCTTTCATCCGTTTCCCCCAGGAAGCGATACCGCCGAAACCCAAGGGTGTAGAGGTCCTCCTCTTGGGTGCACTCCTTGATAGTTATGTTCTTGTCCCGGCCCTCCGGGATCTTCGCCAGGATCCTGCCATCTTTCTCGAGGGCGGCGCTCCTCCTCTTCTTATGCCTCCTAAACCGATCACGCAATTCCCTCGGGAAGGGGCTCTCGGACAACTTCACGTAGCACCACCGGTCTTTCCACCCTTTGTTCGAGGAGGGCTCCTCAGTAAAAAGCTTGAACAGGGCCACCTGCTGCAAGTTTGCGAAGCCCTCAGCATTCGCATGTCCCCCCCGGCACAGGTTGAAACTTTGGAAGAATAGATGCAGGCTAGGTGTTACCCCCCGGGATTTGCAGAGATGGAGGAAGCCCGTGATGTAGGAGTGGCTGTTCGGGGTAAGTTTGCAGGGGACCAAACCCACGAACCGGAGGTTCTCCCGAAGGAAGGGGTGTAGGGGGAACCGGAGCCCCATCGACACGGAGAGGATGTGCACCGCAATGCAGCCCTCGGGAGCCCGGGAGAGGACGTCATCGGGACCTGGTGCCACCACGATGGCCGAGGGGCCCACGTGTAATTGAGTGACATAGAGATCCGCCACATCAGCTTTCGACCTTATCTCTAAGGCGGCGGTATTCAAATAGGAATACCCCTCGGGCATGTCGAGGGGCTTCCCTTGGTCTGCGACGCGACCCTTCTTCGTGGAAGCAGCAACCTTCGCCTTCTTTTTTCCGGGGGCCACCCGGATGGGAACCGCGTTCAGCGGCCGAGAGGTGCTGGCCTCACCAGTGCCCCGAGGGGGGAGAACAGCAACGGTGACCCTCGCGCCCTCTTTTTGCGCCTCTTCCTCAGCTGCTTGCCAGGCGAGGGCCAGCTCTTCGTCTTCACACTCTTGTTCGAAGCCCTCGGCTTCCGCCTCAGCAACGAGGGCTTTCTGCAGCTCCATGGCGACAACAGCATCTTGTCCCACCGAGGGCTATTCACTTGTGGAGTCCACGTCCGAGATGACTTCATCCTCCATCGAGGGCGCCCCCGAGATGTCTTGGGAATCACTTTGGGAAGACATCTTTGCACTAGTTCGAGGGCTCGGAAACGCTAAGTTTTCTAAGTTACAACTCCTAGATCTAAGGCCGCTACAGCTAGCTAAGGAGGGAGAAGAACATGTGGGAAACTAACCATAAAAGCTGGGAATCAACCGAAGGCTGGATTTTCTCTCTCTAGAAAATTGGGCAGAGCTTCGCTACAATGATTTCGCACAAGGGGAAGGGAAGCCGGCCATGGGGTATTTATAAGCGCTGGGATCCGGGCTTGGGCCTGAAAACCGGGCCTCCGGTTGGACTGCCATCAGTACGAACCGTGGTTTCGCCCAATCAGTGACGCCCGCCCACGGACAGCCAACGAGCACACACCACGTGGCAACTCCCCCCAACGGCTATATCCTGACGTTAGATATTCCAACGGCTATATCTCCAACGGCTATATTCTGGGAGCTCCCGGCTACACTTGACAGACCACTCCTTCATCAACCAAGAAATTAGCCCCCGGGCTTTTTACTTCACTCCACTTCATCAAGAAGAGCCTCCGGGTACACTTACCCAGAGACGCTCCCAGTTTGTGCCCCTCACACTACATAACAAATGCCTTCGGGCTCACTCCTTCAGAAGCCCCCCGGCTTCATAACAGGCCCACCCCTCGGGGATCCCCCCTCAGCACTTTGAGGGTCGGGTAGCCCCCGGGGAGTACGCCTCATTAACGGACAGCCTACGGCACGCAGGTAACGGGACCCCTCGGGTACACTCCTCACCAACTAATCAGCAAACAGGGGACACCCCGACAACACTACAACTGTTACTCACATTCATGACGCCCTCGATCCCCATATTGAGGGACTCCCCTTCGGCACCTCCCAAGAAATCAACAGCATGCCCCCGGCTAATCAACACATGAACCCTCAGAACAAGGAAAGCCTTCGGCATCAGCATTATTCTCCATTTCGATCCAAGGTTTCACATTTTCGATTCATCGTTGGGGGAATTCGGTGCACTCTTTTTCCCTCATTAGGATTTTTCCCACAAGGTGTTTCCTAATGGGGTTTTTAACGAGGCATCCCCCCAAAATGAAACGAAAAGTGTCAGCCTTCGGCCCAAAACAGCAACGCAACTACTCTACTCCTTTTCACCACTTTGCAAGTGCCTCAAGGAGTGGGGGACTGGAGGACCCCCTCGGGAAAAATCACAAAAATCACAAACATGACCCCATAAGTCCCGACATGTGGGTAAGTGAGGGACTGCCCTCAGCAGAATAAACAAACAGCAAACTACCCACAACACCACAAACTACAACGGAACAACGGCAGAGGACAAACACAATTACTCCATTTCCCTCAAGTACCTTTCGGCAAAAGGAGTGAGGGACTCCTGATGGAGTATATGGCCCGGGAACCCCCGGCCCACAGACTCCTACTACTCCAATAAAGGCCCAACAGGCCCAGAAAAGCACAACAGGCCCAAATCACAGCGCCCAGAGTACCAAGCAGCCCACAATATGCACCAGGGGTGCCTTCGGCCCCCTGGCCGAAGGCTCCAATTCTCACAGGAGGGCCAAGACAGGAAAACAAGGTTACTGGGAAAAACGGCGAAAATCAGTAGCCCTCGGCACTATGGGGGTCCCCGGTACTCAGAGCCCTCGGCTAGTCATCTACAGCCGAGGGCACCTTTTCCGACATAATATCCGCTCCACATGTGTATGGATCACCGTACCCTGTACAACGTCCCATCCAACAGCCGCATTAAATGCGGCCACATGCAGTTGCCAGTGCCAACCAGTTGAGGTGACCTCTCGGCCAATAGACGTTTGACACGTGTCCCTGTCTGGCATTTATTGCTACTATAAATAGCACCCCATTTCCCCATTTGTAACCACGCTGAAAACGCTGAACACTTTCTAATATACTTTCTCTCTCTATACTTACTTGCTCTGACTTCTCTCTAGTTATTCTCCGTAATAACCCCTCGGATAAGCTACCCCCCGGGTACACTATCCATCAATAGGATTTAGGAAGAATTGGAGAAGAGATATGAAAAAATGTTTAAGATTAGGAGTATTTATAGGTTTTTTTACCCCCCACCCTCCAACCCCACCCCCAACCCCCGGACCCCCCATGCACCCCACCCAACGGCTATATAGCCGTTTGGGTTGTCCCCACCCCACCCCCCAAGGCCATAACGGCTAGTTTGGGGCCCAACATTTTTTTTTAAATTGGACCGTTGGACCCGGACCCGGGCTCAGGCCCGACCCGGCCGGGCCGGGTCAACTTTTTCAGGAACCGTACCCGCTCCGCCCCTCCCCGCCGGTTCGGGTCTACACCTGGTCTCGGACCGCCTGACCGGGCCGGTCCCGGGTCCGCACAGTAGCGGGTCAGGCTAGGTCACGGGCCGGGTGGCCCGAACCGAATCCAACACTAATGTGATGTGGTCATGCATGCATGTAACAAGAAATAACCTTTTTATCTAAATTTTGATACAGTTTTTCTTCCCGATAATGCAACCACGTCATTGCTATGTTATATGTTTCAATCGGATTAACCAGCAATGGGAGAATCTAGATGCGTCAACGTCGACACTGAAGGTTGCTGACAAGTACAGCGAAATGCCTAGCATTTTGGTAAGACGAATTGATTATATAACTAAATATTATAAAAGGTGTGGTTGCATTGGTAGATATTACAAATAATGATTTGTATTCTTTGAATTCAATAGAAAGATATGTTTGTGCACTACATGACTATTATTGGATTGGGTAACAAGGTCAAGGGGCTGAAAAAAGCAAAAGCGAAGAAAGTTGTGATGAACTGGCGCCATGAAAACAATGAGTATGAATGCAATGTCCTAACAATGAGACTTGTGGATATATATATGGGCCAAGGCAGTAAAGGGTGGGACATTGGAATAAAAAATGGAGACAAGAAGCACATGGCCGCGATTCTTTCAGCGGAGTGCAATGAGATGAAGAAAACAATGTGGAAGAGGTTAAGAAGTATGCAAAAGTGAAGAAGCAAGACAAAGGAAAATTAAAGAAGTGAACTGAGGTGTTTTAAACATTAAAACATTTGTTTGGTTGTATTGTTTGACGAGAATTGCGTTTTGGTTATGTTTTATTTGAAGCTTAATACGTTTTTAGACTATTTAGAATATGTTTAAACAAGGTATTTTTGCATGAATTTGATGAATTTTATATATTATTGAAAATTTTCATGCTTGATATGTAGTATGTTGATCGTGTGAGATGCAAATTAAAATGAAATGTATGAAATGGGATAAAGAAGGTTATATTATTATGAGCAATTTAGAATATGGACAATTCCTATATGTTGTGTGATGGAGTATATGGGTCTGGACCCCAGGACCCACATACTCAGAAGAACAGAAGGCACCATAGTCACCTGGTGGGACCCCTGTCAGCCGGATGACCTCCATCGGCCAGAAAGAAGTCCACTCAGAATGTGATCCAGAAGCCAGGAGAACCGGGTGACCTCGTCGGCCATGCCCTCACCGGCCATGCCCTCATCGGCCATAGATAGCCTCTATAACAGGATTTTATACTTAATCATTTCTGTACACTTTGTATTCGGCCCACTAGAGGCCCTGTTGTAAATGGGCCTCCCAAGCCCAAGACTTTGGAACCCAGCCCTAATTTTCTCTATAAATACTCCCCTTGGGAGTAGTTGTAGGGGTTAACAAGTCATTAATACAAGACATTTACTGCACTTCTCTCTCTAGCTCTCACTTCTCTCTAGATATATAATCTATCATTTGGTGCTTTCATTGAGAGCTAGAACAATCAAGTTACCCTCCTTCGTCGCTACCAAGCACAACTAACTGATAATTGGAAGAACTAAGTCTAACCGCAACCTCCTCGGCAAGGCCATCCCTGAGGCCCAATAGAACCAAGAACACGAGGAGGACGCTACGGCCGACAAGGCTCCCGCCCAGGATGTCTTCCAGGAAGCCATCGGCCTCACTACTGACTTGCGCAACAAACTTAACGACGACGCGCCAGACGCCCGCAACAGCTTGGAAAAGAAGCGCGCAGAAAAGGGCGACAACGTCTCTGGGCAACCGGCCTCTCCTGCCGTTGACCTCCATCTCCAGGCTGCACTCTCGGCCATCATCGCCAGCCTGGCCCAAAACCCCACCGTCCTTAGCGCACTCATGCCAAGGACTGGGGAGAAGACTACACCGCCTCCTCAGCCTCAGCCGTTGGCCATCAAGCTAGGCAACGACGAAGGGGTGGTGCCCCAGGATACGTCGTCATCCCACTCCCACCCTGCTTCCCCATTTCGAGTTGGACCGGCCCCAGCGCGTAGTAAAGCCTCAGCCTTCAATAGGCTAGGTGACACGCGTCGTCGGCCTACTTCGGAGAGGATGGCTGGACGGATTGGTGAACGTGAGCCTGGCTCACAAAGGGAAAGCTTGGGGTCCGTATTCCGGACAGCGGATCGGCCCCGCTTGGACAATGGCAAGGGTAAGCTGCACGAGGATGACGCACGCCACCAAATCAACACGGCTCACGCAGCTCGCCTACAGACGCAGGGCGCCACCATGGCCGCCAAGGACCCCAGGGACGAGGTAATCACCCAACTCGAGCGAAGGCTCGCTCAGATGGAGGCCAAATAGCTGGCCGCCATGCCCGCGGGCAACTCATTCAGGGATCCCGGCTTCAACGCCCTTCTAAACAAGGTCACCATCCTTGAGAGGGAGTTGGCTGAAGGACGAGGAGACCCCATCATCCAAGTCAGGACGAGGACTCCCTTCACCTCCAGGGTACTCTCGGCCCCTATCCACGAGAAGTATCGGGGAAACGCCATCAAGCCCTATGACGGCCGCTCTGACCCCCAAGAGCACTTCAGCCACTACCAGAACAATATGCTGATGGTGAATGCGTCAGATGAATACCACTGCCGTTGGTTCCTTTCTACTCTTGAAGGGCCAGCGTATGAGTGGTTCAACGCGCTCCCCAAAGGGAGCATAGACTCATGGCAAGACCTTGCCCAGCGCTTCCTCACTCACTTTTCCGAGAGGAAGCGCGCGAAGAAGTATTTCTCCCATCTTCTCTCCGTCAAACGGCAACATGACGAGTCACTCCGGTCATTCATCGACCGATGGACGAGGGAGACTATGAAGTCGAGCGAGCCGATGAGCGCACCCTCCTCGTTCTTTTCCAGGGCGCCCTCCACAGTACCCCATATGCGAGGAGCCTCATCACTGACCCACCGAGGTCCTATTTGAAGGCGCTTCATCGAGGAAACCCGTATGCTGATGCCGACGAGCTCCACAGCCATAAGAAGGACGGAGGGCACCCCTCCAAGAAGACAAACGCCGCGCCAGCTCCAGACGCACCCTCGGCCGGTGACCGAGGTCAGACAGGACAAGGCTGCCACGGATCCAACGGGAAAAATAAGGACCGCATATGGCGGCCGAGGATGGAAAGGCCGAAGACCCTACTCACTCATTCGGTCAGCTTCATCCTCGATTACGCCGAGGAACACGATCTCATTGAGCGAGATCCTCGGTCGGCCAAGGAGATCTACGCCGTCCATCAGGGCGGCACCTACTGCCGTTATCACAGGAACACCTCCCACAACACAGACGACTGCGTCATGCTGAAGCGAGCCATCGAAAAGCTGATTCGCCAGGGGGAACTCTCCCAGTTTGTTAAAGGTGGCCCACGCAAGAATACGTGGGTAAACACCGGCAAACCTGAGGGCGAACCCTCTACGAAGAAGCGAGAGATCGGCAGACTCAGTGATGACGAGGAGGACTTTGAAGAACCCCATCTGAAGAGGAACCACATCAACCTCATCATGGGGGGTAATACGGGGGGGGGGGGGGGGGGGACTCGGCTACCCAGAGGAAGAAATGGGCCCAATCCCTTTACATTGGGGAGGTGTCCCACGCTCCCCCCAGCCGAAGAAGGAGCGGACGGAGGCGATCACCTTCACCGACAAGGATCTGCCTCCCAGACCCGCATCACACAGGGACGCTCTCGTCATCCGGTGTGAGATAGGTGACTCTGTCATCCACCGCACCTATACCGATACGGGGAGCTCCGTTAACGTCATGTACCTTGACACCTTCAGGCAGCTAAAGCTGGACAAAGCGTTGCTCAAGCCGATACGGACACTTTTGTCCGGCTTCACCGGGGACTCTATCGACGCCAAAGGCACGATAGTCCTCCCCGTGGAGGTCGGCAACGGCTCCCATCGCACCAAGATTGACATGGAGTTCATGATGGTCAACCTCGAGTGCGCCCACAACTTGATATGGGGGCGGCAAACACTAGAGGATCTGGAGGCCATCATCTCCATGAAACATCTGTGCCTGAAGTTCCCCACCAGCGGGGGTATCGGCTACGCCCGGGGGAACCAGAAGATAGCCCGAGCATGCTACCTAAAGCTGACAAAGCCAGCAGCTAGCGCCGGGCAGAGAATAGACACAATCACCGCCACCCTCACCAAAGACGAAGAGAGGCCACACGCCGAGCCAGCCGAAGAGGTCGAGGAGGTCCCCCTGGATACCTCCCGGCCAGAGCGGGTCCTAAAAATCGGGAAACAACTCCCACATGATCAACGTAACCGCATCCACAACGTCCTGCGGTCATATGCAATCATTTTTGCGTGGGGGCCGGACGATATGCCTGGTATCAGCCGAAAGGTGATCACTCACTGGCTGTCAGTCGACCCCGCCTCCACGCCGATCAAGCAGAAGCGGTGCTACCTCTCGGTCGACAGACGGGACTTCTTCAAGGGGGAGGTTACCATGCTCCTCTCAATCAACGACATCAAAGAGGTGAAGTACCCAACCAGGTTTGCCAACGTCGTCCTTGCCCAGAAACCGTCGACGTTTAGAATGTGCGTTGATTACACTGACCTGAACAAGGCGTGTCCTATGGACCCGTTCCCTCTCCCCAACATTGATCAATTGGTGGAAAAGACGGCGGGGTGCGAGCTGATGTCATTCCTTGACGCCTTCAGGGGGTACCACCAGATATTCATGCATGAAGATGATGCCGAGAAGACGGCCTTCATGACCCCGGAGGGAATTTTCTGCTACCTCGTCATGGCCTTTGGGCTCAAAAACTCAGGCGCCACATATACCAGGATGGTATCCAAGGTTTTCAGGGCAGTCCTCGGCCGGACGATGGAGGCATACGTCGATGACATGATCGTCAAGAGAAATCAATCTACCAGCCACGCCGATGACCTCCGGGAGATCTTTGAAATCATGAAGAAATTCCTGCTCCGCCTGAACCCAAAGAAGTGCACCTTCAGCGTCTGAGGGGGCAAGTTCCTCGGCTACATGGTCAGCCGAAGGGGCATTGAAATCAATCCGGAGAAGATACAGGCCATTGTCAACATGGAGCCATCATGAAATGTGATGGAGGTACAACGACTGACGGGACGCCTTGCGGCCCTGAACCGTTTCCTCTCGAAATCGGATGAAAGGTCTTTCCCATTCTTTCAGATCATGCGCAAGGAAAATGGCTTCAAATGGACGACGGAGTGCCAACAAGCATTTGAGGAACTGAAGCGGTACCTATCGTCCCCTCCTGTGCGTTCCAAACCCAAAGCCGGTGAAACCTTATTCTTGTACTCGGGGGTGAGCATGTCGACCATCAGCTCCGTGCTCATCCGCGAGGATGAAAGGGTACAGAAGGCAATTTTCTACGTAAGCAAGACGTTATGGGAGGCCGAGCTCAGGTACTCCCCCATTGAGAAGATGGTACTGGCCATCATCCATACAGTGAAAAAACTAAGGCACTACTTCCAGGCCCATGTCGTCCACGTCTTAACTCAGCAAACCCTCGGCGCACTCATGCGGAGCCCCACCAGTTCTCACGAATGGTGAAATGGGCGATCTTCCTCAGTCAGTTCCAGATCGAAATTAAGCCGAGGTCATCCATCAAGGGGCAGGCCTTGGCTGATTTCATCAGCGAGTGCACAGCCAGGGAGACGGCCACCACCACACCCGGGCCAGAGCCACACGAAGTGTGGACTCTCTTCACTGACGGTTCATCGGCTTCCAAAGCTTGCGGTGGTGGCATCGTCCTCATTTCCCCTGAATGATTCAGAGCCTATTATGCCATCCGCTTCAACTTCAGGGTATCCAATAACGAAGCCGAGTATGAGGCCCTCCTCAGCAGCCTCAGACTCGCCGTCGGCCTCAAAGCGCGGCACATCAAAATCAGGTGCGACTCCAAGC